TACATTGCGCGTAAGATTTATAATTGGATGGTACATTTTTATGATATACAACGGGATATAGTATCTAAAATAATAGTACTGTTATAATATAAGCTGTATCCCAAGCATCGCTGGCTCGGAGGTTTTATTTACGTGTGAGACGAGCCGTATCGAGTTTTATACGATTTCATTAGTGGTACAGCTTATTACGTTAAAACTCGTAATACTAAACTCGCATACCTTACACTCGTAACCAACATGCGTTTTGTACGGAGTCGTATAAGTGAGCGATTGTAAAAATCCATACGTGAACGCTGGGCACTATTCGAAGTAATACCATATGTCGAGCGTTGCTCGCAGCTATAACGTTATCGCGTACACGTATATTTGCATTTTCCTCACATGGGTGGACAGAAGCGACGCATGAGCGAAATGTCTACAAAAAAGACAGCGTTTAGTTATACGTAATGTACTACGTCATATGACGTCAAATGCAGACGCTGAATTATATTCAGCTTGATGGATCGTTTGGTGCGACTGGTATTCATTGCTTTAGCAGGCAACTTCGAATCTGGCTCATAAATCAGACAATCATCGATACAATGCAAAATATTTTTCGAGTCAAAGTTTAGCGTGGTAATCGTATTCTCAGTTTATTAATGATAAGTATATCGAGTAAATAAAATTGGTTAGCGGAAGTACTCCCTTACTTGTCACTAGTTCGAAATTTATAAAACTTTTATTATCATGCGTCATGGAAGACAGTCCTAGGCTCTAACAATAAGAAGCGTATAAATTATTGACGAATATGACGGACGTGCTGGAAACTTGAGATAAAAAATTAAACGCAGTAATAGAGAATTCCGTAATTTTGATTACCGTAAACAGTTAAAGATCACTAAAGCGTATTCGTGCGGATCAAGTATATAGACGCGGAATTCGCGAGCGTAATTTTTCTGACAATGGAAGAAGAATAACGAGCTTGGTTATACGCGTCGTATAACTGACCAACGTTACGCGGTGAGTGTATCACATTTAATTTGGTCGAGCGTGCGGAGCGCACGATATTCATTGCTTCGGTCGGCATCATTGAGCCCCGTTACGTAGATACGTGTGCATCACACATGCGGTTAACAGCACGGAACAAACGATTCTCTCTCTTTCCGCTCCCTCTTTCCGTCTCTCTTTTTTCCTTCCATCTTTGTTCAGTAGTAACACGTTTTCGCACATGTCTGTCGCTCACGCGCATGCAGTGGAAATATTTCGATGGTTTTAACTTGTCAACGTCTAGCAACGCTCGGGTTCATCGAGCGGAATTGCTGAAAATTCCGTTGGTAGCTGGAACACGAGCGATACGTTAATTTCTCACTCTCGTTTGCTATGTAACGTTTTGTCGTCACGTTCGAGCGCTTCGAATATCACGTTGTACTCGGGGAAGCAAGTTTAGATCTAATCAATTCGGTCGTCACGCGCCGGAGAATAATTTTGCTCAGTTTCCGCAGGAATAGCCGGAGAAATCCCCCGTTGTGGCTGCAGGGCAAAAGTTCGCTATTACGATCTTAGACCGAAGCTAGAATATGCTCGCTTTCGGCTTACCGGAAGTTTAATAATACGGCTCGCGGAAAGCGGCAAAACTTCGACCTAGTCTATATCTCGTCGGATTTGCTCGCGTACTCGTGTTACACAAGCAAGTACACCGATCTAAGAGTAATATTCATTAAAGGTCCGGCATTGCGAGGGGTACTTGTGAATTCTGGCCGCGCTAAAGCGTATATTTAACTTGTAATCGTCGTGCAATTACAAACTTTTCCGAGTTTATCTTTCCGTGTTCCGGGTTGTGGGAGCGCTTATACGCGCTACACATTTTTACGTACAATTCGGAAATTGAGCTAGAGTGCCTCTTGATTAAGCGTGCAATTAATACAAATTTCCAACTTCTATTTTCTCGTGTTTCGATCTATGCAATTAATACAATCGGCATTTCCTTTTCAAACTTTAGCGTTTCACAAACTAAAACAGATAATAGATATAATCGTCTTGGGATTATAAATTTCTATCGGATTATATATTCGCACTCTATATATACGTGGGAAATGTGCACGTTCGATTCGGATACCGTGAGTATAGCAAGTAAAACAAGATGTTAACCGCATTTACATAAGCCGCATTCTCGATCGAACGTGCGATCGGCAAAAACAGTTTGTTGAAAAGGTAGTCTTATTTTGAGCTTGTAAATTGTACGACTTGGAAATAGCTTCGCCCCTCTCCGATTTCCGGATAACGTGCAAACGTGCAGGCGACACTGGTATACTTTTAACTGCCTTTCCCAGGAACGCCAGCACCGCAAGCACTGTAACTCAATCGTATGTAAATTGCCGGCGATGTAATCTCGTAAAGCGGCTTAACGTTACGACGAAAGTTTTGCAACATGCCAGCGGGGGAGGGAGGGAGGTGGAGGAGGTACCCAAAACTCGCGATATAAATTGACGTAATTCTTTATCCAGGGTAACACCTGGAACACAAGGTCAATACCTTTCAATTGATCTGGACTATACTTCTTAACCTTATCCGGTCGACTGCTTTCGGCCCTATCGATCCTATCAAGTGGAAACTACGAGACCCGAAACCAGGGCCGATTCGATCAATTGGCAATAGTGCGGTTTCATTGCGGGCTGCTGCTCCGATTGTTTGATGACCTCATGTTGTTACCTAAGTTGCAACAAACTTTATCTGGCTTCCGAGTAGTAATTTCGCTGCCAACTTGAAGTTTATCCCTTGTGTCTGTCATTCTGAAAGACATTGCGATCATGGTTTAGACATGTTGGAAAATAACGTAGAAACGCATAGACGTTTGTTACTACATCACGCCTATATAAAATTCTATTGAAATAATAGTTGCGTTTGGAGAATAATGAATTTATTAAACCTAAGTCGCTTGTTTTTATTTAGTTTTCTCATAAATGTTCCAATCTTTTTTTTATTTTACGCACACGCTAAATGAATTGTTTAATTCAATAATAAAGATAAAATATGATATATAATTATGATAACGAAAGATGTGTAACGGTCAAAGAAAACTGGTAAAGCTTCGATGAAATATACCAGCTGACTTGGTACCCATTCGTAAGCCGGGGGCGAGTAAAGCGCAAAGTAATAACGCGCGAGATTCGGGCATGCCAGATTTATCGCGGCAACACACACCACTGACGTGACGGGAACGGTAACGAGGCTCAACGACAGCTGGTGCACGGCCCACTTCTCGCGAGTGAGAATACGTCCTACACGTACCAGTTTTCATACGTACACGACGAATACGCGATAACTACGCAAACTTTTATCGGCAAAGAAGACTCTCATTTACAGTCTTGAAGAAATATCATCGCGTTTTGATGAATTCTCTCGAAAAGTGAGTGAAACCATTATTTTGTTTTTTTTTATAGTTTAACAATTAAACTAAAGGAATATCTGCCTATATTGTGGCCTACATTGTCGCCGCAGATTGGCAGCCTGCTATCGATGAGCAACGTCAAAGAGACACTCGATGAAACAGGCGGTCTGTACGGCGAATGGAGCGGTTGTTATAAAATCCTATATATACAGAAAAAAAAAGAAAATGAGAATGCACGTTTCGAGGCACGATCCTATGGCTGTTCTACATGGTTATCTCGCAATCCTCAGCGAATATCTGTCACTGCGGAAATTCAATTTCAGGGATCACCGCAGTGACAAGATTAATAGTCGGCCGTTCCGCAACTAAGTTGCGAAAAAATGAATTATTAACGAAAAAGGAGAAACGGACCGATACGCTGCGTAATAGCGATGGAAAGTCGATACTCCAAATGAGTTACCCGCCCTCCTACCTCGTCTCCGCCGCGATAGAATTCTCATCATCGAATGTACTGTTATAGTTGCAACTTGATATACCGCAAGACATAACGCTTTTCACAACTGCGTCACAATAGTGCTGTAATTTATATTTCTGTAGAAATACATATAAACGCTAAAAGACAGATTAGATTGAAGGAATGAAATCAATGAATGAGTTTAGCATAAGTAAACTCTTTCGTTTAGCGAGGTCAAGAGAAAAAAATTTAAGTATTAAAATTTATGTAAATATTATGTTTACTGTATAATTAATAATATCGAGACATGACATAAAGATATTATAATAGTAAGTAATAACCTATATATGTATGTCCCATTTCGCCAAACAAATACCAGGAACTAGTTTCCGCGCTCTTTTGAAAGGACAGCTTCATTCTTCAAAAACTCACGCAATCTTCCGTATGACTGAAAAAGATGAACGAGGTGTTGGGATGCAGCAGTGAAATTCCATGAAAATTACAAACTCTATCTCGACTTTCTTGCAGTCGACATTTAACTTTTAAAAATTGTTAAAACATAAAATGCATGACATGAAATGATTGCTGATATTTTATGATTTTTTTATGATACATTCGATGTCTTTCCTTTCGAATACCTTTTGCTTCGCTATGTGTGAAGCATACATTATCGATGAATAAAAGCGATGAAGGTATTGAGATTCCGCTTGATTGAACAAGTAAAGAAGGTTCCGCTACTTTCTGATATTGCGATGGTCCTCGTGGTTGGAACGAGGTTTCGTACAGCAAATCGAAGAATAGGCGGAAGAGAAGTTAGACGGATGTAATGCGGCATAAAGGTAAAGAAAAGTTGCAGACTTAACGACAAACTTCTTCGAGTGTCTTGCTGCATCCCTTACCTAAGATGAAACTCCGCTTATATCATCAAACGTGACATTTTTACAAGCTTACAAGTTCCGTCATAGCGTTTCTTTGAATAACACTTTGGTACGTGTACCGAAACGAAGTATCGTTGAGATTCAACTCGCCCGAATGAGCAAAGG